GGAATGATTGAATCGCACTCATGTGCAGAGGTGGATATTGAAACTGACCTTTGTCTCTTGATGAGAACAGGTCTGGTAACCACTGATCCCTGGGCAAACGAAAATGTCAGAGCGCTGACAAATCTTGACTGAAACTCCCTAGTTACTCTGATGACTGAACGTCACTGAATTAACATGTCACTGAATATTGATCACTTGATAGTGGAATTATGAGAAAACAGCAGATTACAAAGTGGCATTTTTCAAGGGAAGTGTTTAGGCATCATTGCCCTCACCGGAGCTTCACTCTAACCTGCTCCACCGTTTCTAGTGACGCGCCAGTGTTGTGTAACTTGCCACTCAGATCACGAAAGTAAAACACGTACTCAATGTATTTTTCTTTCTCAATTCTCTGTACTGCATTCTCTCTCAAGACCGTTTTTTGAAGCTCCATACTCAAAATAGCCTCAGCTTCCCAGTTTTCATGCTTATCCTTAACAACCTAGGATCTCCTCTTCCCTCATGGTCTTTCTCAGGTAGGAGATCTGAGAATTGCTCAGGTCTGCAGCTACAATAAACAAACAGCATCAACAACATGGATTCACTTAGCATTCAGAGAATGTAGCGCTAAGATAAGAGGTAGATTTTGTTAAAAGTGCAACTTCAGATGGTGTTTTGTGATTTTTCTTTTCTTTAGGCATGTATCAGATAGCCCATCGCTGAGATACAATGCAGGATTCTGAAGAGCGTAGTCCTCGCTTGCGCCCAGCTCTACAGTCAACTATATGAAACCCCTAATCACCTACATCATGCAAGGCCGCTTTAGGCATATGAGGTTGCTAGAGAACCACTCTCACCAGCGCACAGTGCAGATCCAGCCGAGTACTGAGATCAAATAATTACAAACGTCACTAGGATAGTGGATGGAGCACTGCAAGCAATTGTTCCTATTCACCAGTTATGCAGGTTTGCTTATGTGTTATGACCCTAACCAATTTCGAGATACACATCCACTGGAAACTACAATGCCATCCAATTGCATAAAGAAATGAATGAACTTGAGAGGAGAGAGAGGAGTAGAAGAAGACGAAGAAGTAAGAAAGAAGAAGAAGAAGATGTACACCAGCGAAGACAATGACAAGGCTCTTCTTCTCCACCCAACAATCTCCTCCTCCTTATCTCCCCCTTCTCTTATTCGTACAAGAAATAATAATACAATGTTGAATGACTGGTCCAAAATCATGTCTGAGTCCCTTTTCTACTGCAGGTATCACTCAAGGTCCTCCATAGCCATGGCCGCCTCTCCCACTCTTCACACACATAGGCCGAGGCTATGGCGGACTACTAGGCCTTGCTCCGATGTCCAAAGGACAACGCAGAGCAGCTATGGCTGCTCCAGCTCAGGCCGCCATGCCCAGCCCTGCCTTGAAGCTTCTTGGTGTAGCTCCCCCGGCTGGGGACTCCTTGCTGCAACGCCCACCAAGGTGATGAAGATGGCTGCCACCATAGCCAGGTAAGTACCCCTGGTGCTCCTCCCCCTTCCTCCTTCCTTCCTCCTTCTTCCTCCCTCTAGTCCTTCTTCTTCCTCCCCAGCAGCGCAGCTCCAGCCCAGCGCTGCTCCCTCCAGCGCTCCACCAGTGTGTCGCCAAACTTGCACACCGAAAAAGAGGCCGGGACTTCCGCCCGACCGGAAGATATAGTGGCCTGCTTTGCCTCTTGGGCGGTGACTTCCAGGCCGCTGGCCTTCACAAGCAACCGGTACCTCTTCCTCCTTTTGGAGGGAACATCATTGCAGACTCTGATATTGCCCCTACAGGCCCTAGACTCAGACTGGTACCCTCTAGACCTAGCCTACACTACCGGCCTTTAAAAATGCCACTTCTGTCTTCTTCTGCTCGGCCTCCGGTACCTGCATATTTACCTCCTTGCCGAATCGGTACCGGCCTACCTGCTACTTGAGTGCTTTTTCCCCGCTGCAACCCTTCGAAGCCACGGCCACAGGTAAGTACCGGCCCTCAAGGCCCAACGAACGAACAAGTGCCCTGGCGGGCCACACACACACACACCCATACCAACCAGCACTCAGACAGGCACAGTCACACACGCAAGCCAACCAACACTCAAACAGACATGCAGTCCAGCAAGCACACACACACACAGACTTAGCAGGCGGGGAACTCAGTAGGGCATTCAGTCTATGAGCAAAACTCAGAAATCAGTTGTGTGTTTCAATCCGTGTTTGGACGGGTTATCACACTACCCCCCCCTCAAGAGCGAGGTCCCTTCGAGCGAGTAACTCATTATGAGTCCTCGGCAAAAGCATCGTAGGCCAGCAAGGCAAAGAGATTCCTGGAATACTCTGTTGCAGAGAGCCTTGCTGAGATCTTCGGTGTGGCGTTAGCGGCGATCTGTCGCTCGTAAGCTTTAACAACACGCGGTGCGCTGCATTGCAGTTCCTGTTCAGAGATCCAGTAGAGATCATCTAGCGGATGATACATGAAATGAACCTGGTACTGTTTGTTTCTCCCTTTACCTACATGCTGTTTAATTCTATCTATCTCATGCCCGCCCTTGATTGCGCGAGGGATCATATCTTCGCGGTAATCGAATGTCTCGGCATCACGATGGAGGTACAGTTTAGATGCATGGAACACAGGATATGTGCGCAGGTGAGTTGGCACATCTACAACATACGAAGGGTCAAAGTGATTTTCCCCAATTACATCCAAAACTTCCCAAGGCCCGTAGTAGAGTGGGAAGAGTTTGCGTGAGACTCCCTCCTCCTCTGAGAATTCAAACATCTTTACCCAGACATAACTTCCTACCTGAATCTCCGATGGTCGGCGCTTTTTGTTTGCATGGTGGATCATGGCATGTTGTCGCTTGGTCATAGCTGCAACAGCAACTTTGAGCAAGCGATCATACTTAGCCCTGAAGCCGGGCCTGCCGGGTGTTAAGCCAGCTGACTGCTCAAGGAATAAGTAGGAGAGCGGATTACGGATCTGCCAACCGTAGTGCAACCTGTTGGGTGTCATGGCGGTGGCAGAATGGACAAAGTTGTTATACAACCCCTTGACAGAGTACATCTCTTCATCCCATGTCTCCTGATCCGGAATGATCAACGCACGAAGAAGCTGGAATACAGTCTGGTTGATCTCCTCAGCCAAACCGTTGGCTTCGGGGTGTCGGCCACATGTCATGCACAGTTTGATTCCTAGGTGGGACGTGAAATCCTTCCATTCAGTGCTAATGAAACGCGGATCCCGATCGCTCACAAGAGTCTTCGGGGTTCCGAATTGCAACAGGTATTTCTGTTGGAATTCGCGAATCACTAGATCTGTTGGGGCGTGAGGCGGTAAAGGAATCAGATTGAGAAATTTTGAGAATCGGTCAACAATCACCATGACTTGTGAATACCCGTTCTTGCTTACCTTACCCATGTCAGGGAAGTCGATGGAGACGGACTCCCCGGGACCATCAGGAATGGGTAGGGGTGTGAGTAGCCCCATGGGCTTTTGTCTGCAAGGTTTGATTCGTTGACAGACTTGACATTCAGCCACAAATTTCTCAGCAGTCACTTTCATGCCAGGCCAATCAAACTCTCTCAGCAGGTTAGCGTACGTTTTTGCCATGCCGAAGTGCCCGATCCGGCCATGAGTCAGGTCCAGAAAGTGTGTGAGGAGAGGCTCGTGGTTGGGCACACACAATCGGTCATGGTTCCCGTAACGACGAAAGATCAGTCCTCCATACTTGTGGAAATCAGGCTGACTACTAGGATCAGCCCGCAGTTGCTCAAGGATGGAACTAAGCTCCGGATCCTTGGTTGTCTGCTCTACGAGCTCCTCCAGTTTCTTCCAGAGGTCGTAGGATTTCACAAGGCAAGTCATGTACTCAGGGTGGCGAGACAATGCGTCAGCAACTCGATTATAACAACCCTTTTTGTGTCTTAATTCAAAATAAAAAATGTCAATCTCATGGAACAAGCGAAGCAAGGTAGGGGACAAAGTTGTTTGTCGTTTGATCCACTTCAAGGTCTCATGATCTGATAAGACTTTAAGTGGCGTCCCAAAAGATAATGTTTCCAGTGATCCAACGCCATACGCAAAGCTTAAAGCTCGCGCATGTAGGTGGAAGTGGCTACCTTTACGCTGGGCATTCGTTTGCTGTAGTATTCGAGTGGCCGCAAGCCATCGCCATCATCTTGTTGCAGCACTGCACCGATGCCATACTGACTTGCATCCGTAGTAACTACGAATGTCAGTTTGGGATCTGCAATGCGGAGTACCGGGTAACTTACCAAGGCTTCCTTGAGAGCTTAAAAAGCTTCCGTACACGCGGCATCCCAGGAATAAGACACGTTTTTACTGGTTAGTCGCGACAACGGACGAGCAAATGATAGAAAAACGGGGTACGAACTTTTGATAGTACGACGCGAGACCAAGGAAAGAACGCAATTCGCGAATGTTCGCAGGCTGAGGCCAATCACGTATGACCTCAATCTTAGTTGCCTCAGGCTCTAGGCCTGCAGCAAACAACCGGTGCCCAAGATAGATGACGCTATCCTTCCCAAACTCAGATTTCTCCAAGTTGAGATGGAGCTGCGTCTTCTCGAGGATAGTGAGCACCTCCTCAAGATGCTTGAGGTGTTCCTCCATGGACTCGCTGAAGATCATAATATCGTCCAGGTACACTACCACGAATCGGCCAATCTGTTCGCGGAGGACCTTATCCATGAGGCTTTGGAAAGTGGTTGGTGCATTCGTGAGACCGAAGGGCATTACGGTAAATTCATAAGGCTCGTCGCGCGCCTTGAACGCAGTCTTGTGCTGGTCTGCAGGATCATCTTCAATCTGGTGGTAGCCAGACTTGAGATCGATCTTGGAAAAGACTTTGCACCCGCCTGCGGCATCAAGCAAGTCGTCTATACGAGGCAATGGATAAGCATTATTTCTCGTGATGCGGTTTAGACCTCGATTGTCAATACACATGCAGAGTTTGCCTCCCTTCTTTGGCACAAACAACACAGGAACACCAAAATCAGATTCACTTGGTTCGATCCACCCTTTGTCAATCATCTCATCGATCTGTCGCCGGAGTTCCTCCAACTCGCCGGGTCTCATGCGGTACACGCAGCCCTTTGGAGGAACAACACCCTCGACCAACTCGATGGTGTGTCGAACCGGTCGCGTGGGGACTCCATGTGGCTCGGCCAAGACTTCCGAAAACCGACCGAGGAGGGTTTGGATGTCTGATGGGACAGGTGGGGGTGGGGAATCAGCAAAGGGATCACCAAGGTCCGGTCGCAAAGAGATGACCGAATTTGAAGTAGGGTCATTTGGACTATTAGAAGATAGAGAGATAGAGGTGCTAGTAGTAGAAGTACCAGAAGTAGGATTATCAATCAAAGTAGTAGTGGTATTAGCCGCAAAAGTAAAAGGCACATGAGCAGGACGAACAAAGGCAACATACAACTGTTCTTCCTCTTTGTGTTTGCGCCACTTCTTGCAGAACTTCAATGCATTCAAAAAAGTCACTGGGGATTCGTGCTTCTCATCCAAGAGGACAGGAAGCTCGTTCCCCTAAGCATCTTTGACCATGAAGAGTGATTCCTTCCACTTGGTCCATTCGCATTGGGACTGCAGCCAGCCCAAGCCAAGGACAGCGTCGAAGGGGCACTTGTCAAGGACAAAGAAGTTAAGTGCATGGGTGACAGTCTTACCTCTGTCAAAGGTAGTGCACACACCTTTGACTGCATGTGTTGAAGAGACAACTTCTTTGTTGCCAACTTGGGTCCAGCAAGGGTTCTGCAGGGCCACTTGCTTCATCCCCAAGCCTACCTTGCGTATCCCATGTGGTGACATGAAATTAGTTGTAGCACCACAGTCAACCAACACACGGAAATAGTGGTGGTTGATGAGAAGTTTACAAGATCAACTTCACTGTCCCTTGGGCAAGCTGTTGTTTCATCTCAGCCCAATGCTCCAAGTGGTAGTCGAAGTCAACCATCTCAGACTCCTCCCAAGGCTCGACATACAAGACATTACTTACCTCAGCCTTGTCTTCAGCAGATGGTTGGGCTTCAGGGGAGGGTTGCTGATTTTCAACAGAACCGGACTCCCCTGCTGTAGAGTTTGTTGAATCTGACTCTACGCCCGATTCTGGTTTCCCTGCAGCCTATAATAGTCTTGAACTTTATGATTTGGCTTTTGGCAATGCAGGCAAACCCCCTTCTTGAGTCTGCCCCGCCAGTCATTCTCCGTGATCCGGAGGTCAACCCAAGGTTTTGTAGTTGCATCCTCCGATTTAGGCGGGATCTTAACTCCTTCGGGGAGTTGGACATAATTTTTTCCGGCACTCTGATTCGGTCCCTTAGTGCTGGCAGTCTTTTTAAAGGCAGAATTTTTTTCTTCTTCTTTATTTGCGTCGGACTCATGGGCTGAAGAACAAGCTGTATCGGAGTCCTGTTCTTGGTCGTCACCAAGACTGGGTTCACCCGCATCGGCTTCTTCTTTGGCCTCCAGCAGGTCATGCACAGCAAATCGGTTGCTGCCCTTGAACCGTCTGCCGCCCATGGGTTTTTTGCTGCCTGTCGTGCTAACGAGGTCCATAGCCTCCAGACTGACTACGTCCTTCATTAAGGCGAGCCAGTCAGTGTATGCAATGTAGTCCCCACCCAGGGGACTAGTGAAGTTAGTTGGAACCGCGCCCTTAACCACGTCCAAGCAAGATTGAGTGGACAATTCCAAACCAGAAGTGGCAAACAGCTTGCTTAGATAGGTCTGCAGGCTTTTCATGGAGCCATTCCACTTGTTGTGCTTCACTTTGTCTAGTTGAATGCTCGCTTTAGCAGCAATATGTGGATCTTGGTATTCCGAGATAAGGAGCTCTTCGAGGGAGGCAACCGGGTGGTCCTTAGCCATTTGGCTAGTGCAGCCTTTGGAAACCCAACCCGTGTTGCTTGGACTTCTAGGAAGCCCCGTACGACTGGCTCGACATTCATTCCCATGATCCCTGCCCGGTTCTCAGGTTGAGTTCCCAGGATCTCAAAGTAGGCCCTCATGGAGCCGATCCAGGACTCGATATCATCCTTGTTGTCGTACTTGGACGGCATTTGTACCGCCTTCCGGTCCACGTAGGGACTGGCGTAGCTGGGACCAGCAGCAGCTGGTTCCGGCCTTGGGGCTGCAGCAATTGCAGAAGTTCCAGCCTCATTCCTTGTTACAGCAACAGTGGAATCTGCACCTGCTGCAGGTCCCGAGGGGGTTTCCATCACACTCGAAGAAGAGGTAGAAGAAGATACACTAAGAGGGGCAGAGGTGGTTTCGATAGCAGCTTCAGATCCAGGGGGTAGAGGAAGAGGGTTGGCCACTTGGGCTTGTCGCAGGTCAACCACCTCCTTTGTCAAGTCATGGTACTTGCGGGTCATATCAGTAAGATCATCCTGAAGAGTCTGCAGTTTTGCAAAGACTTCAGCGATCTGAGTGGTATGGTCCTCAAGATTCCGGACTTGAACAGGATGTAAGTATGGACTGCAACTGTTCCCCGCACTGCTATTCAGTCAGTGAGGGAACAGTCTCTAAGAGAGCTACTTGCCTTCTCAGCAAGGTCTCCTTCCTCTCCTTCTCTGACTCCTGTTCCCGTTTTATTGCACCATCTAAGAGTGCTTGCAGATGAGGTTTCTCAGCATCACTGGCTACATCTAACAAGGCCCGCCATTGCGTTGAAGTAAGTTGGGCCATTTTCGAACTGTCAATATGGACAGGTGGGTCAGAGAGTCGCCAATCAGCAAAAGAATCAATCAGATTCTCAAGAGCTTCACTCCCCCTCACGCTTTGACGAACACTCCTTTTCCCAGTCCTTGCCCACTTCAGACTATCACTTTCCCTCTCTCCCTGTTCTCTCTCCCTCCTCTCTCTTTCTTCTTTCAGATTGCGAGTCTCCATGGGCATCGAAAATGAACTCAGAAAAACAGGTAAAGCTCAGAGAATATAAGGTAGAACTCCTAGCCAGAGCGGCATTTCATCTGGAAGTAGAGAACAGCAAAAGAAACAGTTAAACTCAAAGAGAGGTCTGATCCAGCGACCCAGTCTGATCAGACTGCATACGAGGTCCTCTCGAGTCCAGCCTGACCAGCTCCGTGTCCGCACAGCAAAGCAGACAACGAGTAACTAAATGCAACAATGGAGAATTGAGTGGTGTACAGGGTGCGAGTCAAGCCACGGATATGGTGCAATCAGAATACAAGCGAAACGTCAAAGCCAAGATCCACTCGGCAGTGGGTGTCCTAATCCAAGAAGAATGAACTCATATCCCAGCCAAGAAGACAAGAGGCCAATGCCTAACTGATTTGGGTCCAGAGACTCTCCTTGTTTGGGCCCGGTCCCGCTGGGTCCCAAGGGTTCCACTTGGTCCCAAGGGTCCCACGTAGGTCTCAACCAGGTCCCAACCAAGAGGAGTCCCACCTGAACTTAGTTCAGTTGAACTTAGTTCAGTCTCAACTGCACTGAAAAACGAAATTTCAACTTCTGGCAGAACCTACAGACTACAACCGTTCAGTGATGAAAAGACAAAGCACTGTAGAAAGACTCGGCATAGATAACAAGATACTTCATTTTCCATCCATCAGGTGAGTAGGTAGATCACATGCATTCAGTCACACAATCAAGACCACAGAGGAGTAGGAAAAGAAACCCAGAGTACCCCAGCAAGACAATCAATACCATACATACATACATGGATTAACACGCATATAATTGGCTATAACTCACTACAATATTCTCAATGCTCAAATTGTTCCCTTTGTTCAAATCATTCTCCGTCTCCCAATTTTTAACCAGAGTACCGATTTGATCCAGTGACCACTTCCTTTGCAAAACTGTAGTTAAAGTTATGACTATTGCAACCATTTCATCCAATCTGAGAGGATAGTGTTGAGCCTGATTCAAAATTGTCTGCCTCTTATTATTGGTGAAGTTAGTCATGAAAATATGGCATCTCTAGGGCTCGTCGTAATATGAGATTCTTTTGGTTGTCCGTATGAATGTCTGAAGGAAAATCTTCTGATACTGAGGGTACCCTTCGTAGTAGTGGAACAAGGTCATTCTCCAATTCCTACTCTCAATCCCTTACTCTTCTAGCAAAGAATACAGGCTCGTCTTTATTGTTTCTTTTTAGCTCCACCCTTGAGAATTATGTATGCAGAGAGCATAAACAAGAATGGTACGAGTCTGCGTAGCACCGTGTTCGCGTTCGAAGACGAACACGAACATGTTCGCCCGAATGCAAACAAGTGCCCAAAACCCTCCGAACGCGAACATAAAAAATATTTATAAAAAAAAAGTTCAAAAAAATCTAAAAAAAATACATGTTACGTAAAATATTAATACAAGCAACATGTTCAAATTCATAGCCAATCATGAGTTAAAAATCAAAAACCAAAAATATATATATAATTTTTTTCTTTAACTAGGTTACCAGATTGGATGTTCGAGACCCTCCGAACGCGAACATAAAAAATATTTATAAAAAAAAAGTTCAAAAAAATCTAAGAAAAATACATGTTACGTAAAATATTAATACAAGCAACTTTTGCCTTAGATCATGTTCAAATTCATAGCCAATCATGAGTTAAAAATCAAAAACCAAAAATATATATATAATTTTTTTCTTTAACTAGGTTACCAGATTGGATGTCCGAGACCCCCCTGACCGTCCATGGTTGTCCGATCGGACAACTGGTCGAACGTCCTCCCCGGGCAATCTGTCCGAAGCCCGAATGGCCAAAAAAAAAAAAAAAAACTCAAAAAATTCCCCAAAAAAACTATGTGCGAGGCCAAGGCCCCGATAAGCCTTTTTTGGCCCTGTTACGCAGCACGTCGGTCGTCGTAAGTGAAGGCAGGCTCGACAAGGGTCGGAGGGCGCCTATCTCGGTCACCACGCAATTGTGGAAAATTCAAGCACTTGCACAGCGCCAGTAGGTTGAAGAGCACCCAAGCCCAGGCCGCTTGTTTGCATGTATGGAAGGCAGGCCCTGGGCTGGATACGGGATATGGGCCAAATACAGGCCGAGGACAGTTGGGCACAAGCAACCACCACAAGCCCTGGGCCTGATTCGTTTGGACTGGGCCTCAGCCTACCGGGGCCCACTAGAAGCTTTTTGGGAAAGGCCCAGCGCAGCCTAGGACAG